CTTTGCTTCCGAATCAAACAAAAACATTCGAAATGAATGTTTCCATCATTGATGGTAGCAGAAGTCACCAACAAATCAGCAGTTGCCACACGCGATCAATTTTAAACACATACCCGCAAGTATCAATCTCACCAGACTGTGGTGATCCATCTGCTCCTCCGAACTGTACAATATCTCCCACAAGGCACTAATAACGTCTGCCTTATCATCTATCAGTGTTCCACCAAGTTGTGCAGGGCCAGCCAGTCTGTCCACCTGTTCATTTCACAACACTCCGGCGTGACCTGGAGAAAAATCCAGACAATACTCCTCACCCGCGTCATCTGCATCAAAGAATGCCACTCTGCAGGAAGCATGGCTGTCCTGATCTTCCTCAGCATGCTTTCTGAGTCAGTTACAATCACGATGTGTGCCTGTGTGTGTGTGTGTGTGTCGTGTTCTCTAACCAGCGGAAAACTGCAGTGACCATTCTTAAGCTGAATGTTGTGGTATTATATGCTAGGCTCTCCTGCACCAAACGTCGACCATTAACTTTAGCTAAGAAACCCTAAGCACTTCTTTTGCGTCTTGACACTGAACCGTCTGTGTAAATGATCAAATCCTCTGAGCGAGCATTATCTTGAATTAATTGCTGAATTGTTGGTCAATCTATACATTCCCGGCTCAACGTGATTATGACTCTACACAAGTCTGACTGTTCAGGTGGCCCTTTGACCCACTCCTCTCCTCGTCTAATGTTCTCAAAGGTGCAAACCTGTCCTATTGTGTCTTCTGCCTGAGCCATCCCTGACTTCCCTCTTCTTCTTCTTCTTCTTCTTCTTCTTCTTCTTCTTCTTCTTCTTCTTCTTCTTCTTCTTCTTCTTCTTCTTCTTCTTCTTCTTCTTCTTCTTCTTCTTCTTCTTCTTCTCATTATCCCCCGGTGGAGCATCATCCCAAACTGTATGGTTCCTTGTTATCACATCTAGCTCATTACCATGTCCTCTCCATCTTTTACAGTTCATTCTCCAGCTTCCTTCTGTCTGTGTTTTTGGTCAGCCTTTATTTCCATGCCCCTGCGGGTTCTAGTGTAACACCCTTCTAGTTTTACTGTTCTCAAAGTAGATGTTGGATTGCTGAGTGGTCTTAAGGTATGGTGTCCGCCTCGAGTGCTTGAGGTCCCGGATTCAAGCCCTGGTGGAGGCAGGAATTTTTTCGCGTATACTTCTAGTAATTTTCCTTGGTCTCTGGGTAGTAAGATAGGATGCCTGTGTTTATTGTTACGTACGTAGAAAATACCTTGGCAGTGGAAAATCGAAAAAGAGAAGCCTAACGACGCTGCCCGGGCAAAATTTTCAGCTAAAAAATCTACTCAAAGTATTTCAGGACCCTCGTCGCCGCAACGAAATTTGTGCATTGCGCTAAGATTCTTTAAACTCAGGCTTTGTGAGATAAAGTCCTCTCTCTGTTTCTGTCTATGAGTTCAATCCGGGGAAGGGAAAAAACTACATACCTAATTATATATAATATAATTTCTTTCAGACAGTTGTGATATTTGTACTGGTATTACTAGAATTCAGAGTATATTTTTTTAATATGAAAAAAAAAATGTGGTTGTAGTTGTTGCAAAGGTGTTTAAAAAAAAAGTGCCGGTACAAACCCCAAAGTACTCTTACAATGTTACTGAAAATGAGGCTTGTAGAGGATCCGGTAATAAGTATCCCCCACCCCCCCCCCCCCAAAAAAAAAAAAAACTTGCAACTTCTTTTACAACAGGAAAAGAAACAGAGCATGTAATGGTAAGGGCATGTGACAAGATCCACTAGCCTCACCAAAACGATACTACAGAACTTAGAAAAGGAGAAGAGGCTGATTAGGAATTAACTAGAAAGAGAATCTACTGGGTTTGACAAACAAATGCCAAGTCATTTTTATCTGGAGATGGAGGGAGCTTATCAGTCAACAGCAGCTGGACCATATGATACGTGGTGTTGTTGGGACTATAAAAGAATAGGAAAGCAATAAAACATGTGTCAGTTTTACACAGTTAATTACAAAAACAAAGTCGAGGGAAGCGGTAAACTTTTTCGTTACGCGACTTTGATGATTACAGGAACCTGACCTTAGCTTGAAGGGCTACCGAGCCTCACATGAATACTAGGAGATGTCTTGTGAAGTTGAAGTAACCAAGGTGATATTATACATGCTGGTAAGAGAGTGGTCGATAAAACACGAATCTAACACCTTATGGCAATTGCCATTAGAACTATGGACTTTAATAAATGGACTATAATATTGTGCGGTGCTTGTGAATATGCCACGACTGACTGAGTAGCCAACTTCCGGTTTCCCGTTGGACCAAACAGAAACAGACAGACGACAGACAGCTGAAGTCGACAGGGACAACTGGGAAATATACAGTTTTACATGAACCTGTGTGAATGTAACGTTTGTTTTCACCACTTTGCCTTTCTTTTACAAATGCAGACACAATTATTTTTAAGTTTAGAAGAACATGAAATGCTGTTCAAGTCATTTGCATTTCATGTGGATACAGTTTAATTTTTTACAGATTTTGAGTTTTGAGTGATCAATGATGAGTCCGTTGCTTTGCTTTTGTAGTCAGCAAACCACATACTATTTTAATTGATTAATGTTTGATCTTTGACCTCGTTCAGAGTAATAAGGTATCGACCACTCTCACTACAATAAAGCTGATATCTCAAGTCTCACGATAGATGGCAGAGAAACGTCAACAGAGAGAGCAAACTGAAGTATCTAGGAATTACATTTGACAGGAGCCTGTCCTTTAAAGATCAAATGGAGAGTGTTAAGACAAGATGCCAAAAAGGATTCAGTGCACTTAAGACTGTGGCTGCAATTGACATAGAGCAGAGAATGCTTTTTACACTATATCAGTACCTGATCCTGTCAGTGATTGATTATGGCCTGGGACTGCTTATCGTTGCAAAAAGTCAGATGGACAAACTAGAGCGCATACAGAACACAGCTATGCGGGTCATTCTGGGTTTGCACCAGAGATACCCTGGGAGTGTGTATGCGATACATCCTTGGTTTGCCAACTATTGCAGGTAGGCTTAAGGTGCTGCAGGTGAAGTCATATCTCAGGGTAGCTGCAGACACAGATCACCTTTTGCATGAAGCTCTGGGTACAGATAAGGGTCAGCGGCTAATAAGGGGGAAGTCATGGATGGCTCAGGCCGAAGACACAATCAGACAAGTTTGCATCCTTGAGAACATTAGGCGAGGAGAGGAGTGGGTCAGAGTGCCACCTGAACAGTTAGACTTGTGTAGAGTCATAATCAAACTGAGCCGGGAATGCAGAAACTGGCCAGCAGGTGCCATGCAGGTGGATTTGATCATTTACACAGACTGTTCAGTGTCAAGAGGCAAAATAAGTGCTTGGGGTTTCTTAGCAAAAGTTAATGGTCGACGTTTGGTGCAGGAGAGCCTAGAATACTACAACATCCAGCTTCAGAATGGAGGTGGAGGTGGTTACTAGATTTTCTCTGGTTAACATGACACACACACGCACATTGTGATTGTTACTGAGGAAAGTGAGGACAGAACAATGAGGATTGTATTTTTCTGTGTTACAGGTTGTGAACTGATGATTGTATTCTCTCTCTATTACAAGTTGTGAATTGATAATTGTATTTTCTCTATGTTACAGGTTGTGAACTGATGATTGTATTTTCTTTCTCTGTTACAGGTTGTGAATTGATGATTAAATTTTCTCTGTGTTACAGTTTGTAAATTGATGATTGTATTTTCTCTGTGTTACAGGTTGTAAATTGATGATTGTGTTTTCTCTATGTGTTACAGGGTATTTGAGATGCTAACCCCATAGTTCATACTGATGTACCATGAGCTCTCAACCATCTTATCTTTATGGAAGAGGACGAGGTCGTGGAGCCACCAAACACTCAACACCATCAGGTTCTTCATCAACCAAAGGACGAACACAGGAAGTTGTAGGCAATGGCTCCTCTCAACAACGGCCAGGAAATCTGGCCACTTCTGGGGCTTGGTCCGGCTCCAATCAAAGTCCAAAGAGTCCCAGCTTTGAGAACCAGCGTCTAGAGTCTTGTAAGAAAGATGAAAGCAAACAATGTAAATGAAGTATTATTGTTTTCTATTGCATGGTGATGTTTCTAGAAGCCAGAGAGCTTGAGGCTGAAGCCTTGCTTAAAACTTTTGCAGAGTCTTGGTGAGGGGTGTACAGACACATATCACTGTCATGATTCTCACATTTCTTATAACATGCAGAAACCTTCTACTCTTCTAGATCTTTTAAAGGCTTCAATCAAGTTAGTTATTCCCTGCACCTACAGCTTTGTTTCTGTGCTTTGTTTTATCATCGCTATTTTGTTGCTTGCATTTCTGGAATTTGACTTTTTATTTTTTTTTAATTTTCACTTAACAGTACGGACAAACATTTTTATTTTATGTTGAGTTGAGTCAAGAACTGACATCACAGCACTCGGGGCATTTCTATGCATGCTCCATCCTCATCTTCAGCGGACAGCACAGAGTTCCAATACTGATGGTACCGGTCACAATCTGGCTGTATGTCCATCTTGCATTTACTCGTGTAGTGAGCCGGCCAGGCCAACCGGTTACACCCAGATTCCTTATTCTCTCCAGGCCATCATAATCTTGTTTCTCTACTGATTCCGCTGCTTATTCTCAAAGGGCCTTGACCTGCCTTGTCATTTTATGTATGTAGTATTACATATACACACATTCACTCATGCAAACACTGTCTGTCTCCTCTTCTTTCACTTCTTCTTTAAAGGAACATATCTTTGATGATTATTTGGTGATACAAGTTTTCATAATGAACATGAAGTATTTGTATAATGCTCCTTTTCACCATCCCATGTATTTCATTTATCCTGAGTAAACTGTTACACTTATTATGGAGAGTTGTAAAATGCTCTTTTTCACCCACCCTTTTATTTCATAAATATTGATTCTGCTGTTAAATATACCCATTAATTTGATCATTCTCTTTACTGACCCTTTTATTTCATGTGCGTTGAATACACTCTTGTACTTATCTATTTTAAAATATCTTTCACATTCGAGATAATATGTGGCATATGCTGTTTGCTAGGTGTAGATGAGCTAGATTCTGTATCTGAGATTGTAAGACACATTTCATTGTTAGAATTACATTTGTAATAAGCTTGAAGTATAAAGTGGTGTATAATATATTGAGGAGCAGCTGGCTGAGCGGTCAAGAATGCTGGGCACTTGTTCAGGAGACCCGGGTTCAAATCCTCGATGAGGTGATGAATTTTTTCTGTCCAAGGCACCCACAAAAATTGTAACTTGCACAGTCTGTCGTGACTGAGCTAGCTATGTGATCCTAAATCCTCAGGCTTAACCCTTTCGCTGCTACGGTCCCGGCGGTTACTGTCTGCCCTGTGCTAAGTAATGGGAAAAAGAAAGTCTCTCCTGTGCCCATTACTTTTCTACCCTCCAAACGCAAAAAATGCGTCTGCGGTGGGAGCTATATTTTGTAAACCTAAAAATATTCACCCTAGGAAGCTGTGTGGTTCGCCTGAGTGTTAACAAGTCAGATGCACAATGGTGCCAAAAATCCTGTCTTTACAAAAAGTAACCACTAGAAACTAGATTTAATAACCCAGCTTCCTTAGGGATAGGGAACGAAAATATATCTTTTTCATTTATATTTCCAGTGCTGCCAAATATGTAACTCCACGAAGAGTTTCACAAACATTAGCCTCAGAAACTTGACTGAAGCTACCGCCAAATCACTGGGGGGGGGGGGGGGGGGGGGGGTTGATTAATGGGGGGGGGGAAGAATTGTTCCCAGTCCCTACCCCATAATTTGATTGATAAATTTACTGCGGCTCCCACTTTAATCATAATTAATTGTAGTCACCATGTTATTACATTAAAAAAAAAATAAAATACCTGAGTCATCCATTGTTGAAAAGTGGCAAGAACTGAAAGCAAAAAATTTGCAAATAAAACAAAACAAAAACACTGTGGTAGTGTTGAACACAAGACTTTCCATTGTATGGAGGACATTATACCAACTACACTAGACTATCATCAATTACAACAACCAAAAATAAGACCAGTATTGTACTGTAAAATTAATTTTAATCAGCATGTTAGTACATGCCCACATCCTCTTGTTGAGACGAGATCTTATAGTGGCAGGTGCCTTCTCAGTTACTGCCTTGCAGAACCTGTTATTTGTCTCTGCGATGAAAGTCATCAATGATTCCGTGAAAGTTTTTTAAAAAAATCAGTCACCGAACTGTTTGGATTTGCAGCAGCAGAAATATAGCCAGAGCTGGAGTTTTCAAAATTATGCACAACTGTTCTCAAGTTGTCAGTGAACCAAGACATTTGATCAGTTTTGTGCCATTTTGATGGTACTTTATCATGTCTGCTCTCTGATTCCGATGATGAGGACGTCAGACAGGCAAATAGCTTTTTCTTGACCACAGTGGTTTGCCCCGTCAAAGTTGATGGCCTAGTCAGATCCTCTTGTTCACTGACAAGCGTGCACATTTTAAAATCATTTTCACTGTCACTCCTTGACAGAAACTCTTCATCAGCTTTAACAAGTTTTCTTGCCATTTTGTTTAACCAAATGTAGAATAATCTAAAATCACAAATATGTATCAGGGTTTTAAAATACACAGATCACCGACCACGCTGTCACGGTAAACAAAGCAACAGGATAATGTGGAATGCAGTAAACACACCTAATTGCATGTGACAGTGTTTTTTAATCGTATGTGATGGGTCAGTTAGATCTAAATATAACTAATGTGTATTGTCCTTTGACCCCCGAGAAAACAGTCCATAGAAATATGTAAGGAAAGTCTAAAAACTTGCTTTTACATCCATAGGACTGGGGGTCAAGAAAAAAATAACGTCAAAAGACGGGCGTAGCAGTGTGCAGGGAAAATGGGTAAATACATCCATAGCAGCAAAGGTGTTAAGGACACTCTCTCCCACACCCCCATACTACGTCCCCATAAAAAGTGATACAAACAAGTCATATCTTTTAAATAGATATGCATGCAACACTCAGACTATAGAACTATAAAGAAGTGAACGAACAGCTAGAATTGTCCTCTGGAGTCTACAGCTGGTGAAGACGAAGTAGAAGAAAAACAGCTCTTGTATTACATTCACTATTTCTGAATTACACTGGCAGCTGTACAGCTGTTGTATTACACTGGCAGAAGTTGTTGTTTCACATTCACAGCTCTTCTGTCATATTCACTCTTTCTGTATTACACTGGCAGTTGCACAGCTGTTGTGTTGGACTGACAGAAGTTGTTTCACATTGACAGCTGTTGTTGCATCACATCCACAGCTGTTGTTGCATCAGATTGACAGCTGTTGTTGCATCACATCCACAGCTGTTGTTGCATTAGATTGACAGCTGTTGTTGCATCACATCCACAGCTGTTGTTGCATTAGACTGACAGCTGTTGTTGCATCACATCCACAGCTGTTGTTGCATCACATCCACAGCTGTTGTTGCATCAGATTGACAGCTGTTGTTGCATCACATCCACAGCTGTTGTTGCATCACATCCACAGCTGTTGTTGCATCACATCCACAGCTGTTGCATCAGATTGACAGCTGTTGTTGCATCACATCCACAGCTGTTGTTGCATCACATTGACAGCTGTTGTTGCATCACATCCACAGCTGTTGTTGCATCACATTGACAGCTGTTGTTGCATCACATTGACAGCTGTTGTTGCATCATATTGACAGCTGTTGTTGCATCACATCCACAGCTCTCAGGTCTGTGGAGGACCTCTTTGCCAAAGCTAGAAGTGAGCATCTGAAGGCAGCCCACCATCATCTACAGAACACGGCTGACGACCTGGATGACTCAGAGGATGAAGAGGAGGATATTGGAAGTATTGTGTTGAACGGCATTTTCCAGTCTTACGCAAAAACTTTTGGTGAGCAAAGAGCTGATTTAATAGTAGTCGTTTTTTTGTTGACTAGTGACAACACATGAGGACATCTGTATGGCTGTTAATCTCCAGCTTTGGATCATTTTTCAAAAATAGAAATAAGTTTGCTGTAGGGTTTTTTAACTAGGTCTTTCCCATGAATGTGAGGTTCAAATTTCTTTTCTTAAACTAAAGTTTTTCATGTTGCATTCTTGGCTTAGTTCACTTTGTTCACTTTCCTTCTAATTTCTGTACAAACGCATCTTGCTTTCAGCTGATGTTTTTTGCTTTAATTTTCTGCCTTGCTTTATCAAGTCTGTAAACTCAAAATTCTTACTGCTTCCGGTTCTCATTTGGCCACATTGACATGTGTGTGTGTGTGCAAGTGTTTTTTTTTTTGTTTTTGTTATTAATTCAGTGTTTAGCATCAAATTTAATCTTTTAAACACTTTTATTTCTTAGTGCATTTAATCTTTGAGAATTTTATTCCCTCAGTTTTCATCTTTAGCCAACAAAATATGTATATTGGACCTTTCTAATTAAAGATGTTTTTTTTTGGGGGGGGGGGGGGGGGGGGGGGTCCTTTAATATTGTGCATATTTAAACACTTCTGGTCTCTTGATTGTGTTTGGAAAATGTGGGCGTTATGAGCTGAACGACAACCAGTATAAGTATGGGTCAGAGAAGGAGTTCTAACAACTGTTTCATTTTAACGTTGTAGAAATCGGGAATGGAAATGATGTCCACTCAGCTCAGGAAAAGCTGCTTCATTCGTTCCGATCAGGGACATCGGCTTGTCTGGTCTGCATTGAAACAATCAAGAAAGAAGATGCTGTGAGTGAAGTATTGTTTCTTCTTCTTCTTCTTCTTCCTGTTCTTCTTCTTCTTCTTCTTCTTCTTCTTCTTCTTATTATTTTATTTTTTTCCTCATCCTCCTCCTTTTTCTTCTTCTTCTTCTTCTTTTCTTCCTCATCCTCCTCCTTTTTCTTCTTCTTCTTCTTCTTTTCTTCCTCATCCTCCTCCTTTTTCTTCTTCTTCTTCTTCTTCTTCTTATTATTTTATTTTTTTCCTCATCCTCCTCCTTCTTCTTCTTCTTCTTCTTCTCCTTCAAGAGGAAGACAGAGAAAGATGGTGGGTTTTATGTGCTAGTGCTTTCACTGTAACATCTGCACGACCCTAACTGGTCAAGGGTTATGTACAAGGGCAAGTCAGTCACAAATGGTTATGGGAAGGCAGGGAAATGTAGTTGGTGGTTTCTAAAGGTGTTGTTCGGTGACAGCAACATTGAACTTTATGTCTCCATTCATTAGGTAGGTGGCTCATGTGCATTTGCAGCACAGAAACAAAACATACTGAACTTTCGGAGTGTACCCTTAAAGAACAATGTGCTGTTGTGTTTTTTAATGGTGGGGGGGGGGGGGCCCAAAGGACTGTCTGTAAAGGACATTCATAAGGAAATGCTTCCTGTTTATGCTGATACATGTTTATCCCATAAAGGGTGCATAGCTGGGTAACACAAATTGTTGATAAAATCCGATCTGGTTATCCTGTTGAGATTGCAACAGATGCAGCGGGTGGAGGAGATGATTAGAGGTGACAGGCGAGTAACAGTTGACTCTGTAGCAGCTGCAGTAGGGTGCTCACATGGATCAGTATTTCCACCTTTTGTTCCACTAAAACCCACCTTGTTCGGACACATTTTGTATATGACGCAGAGACTAAATGTGAAGGAAAGCTATGGTTTAGAAAACAGAGCACGCAGTTCTATGCCGCAGATTTCGAAGCACTGATAAATCTAAGGGACAATGTTTGTGTAAAAATAAATGATTTTCAAGAATCTGTCTTGAGCTTTTTTTTTTAATACAACCATTTGTGACTTACTTATTGACGTCCCCTTGTATGTATATGTGTCAAAATCTTCATTTTTCATCCAAGTCCCTTGGTAGACAACAGCAGTCGATTTAGGAACATTCTCATAATAATAGATTAGGTGAACATTTAGGCGAAAGCAAACTTTGGTTAATTGGTATTGTTTTTATACTCATGACAGATTTGGAGCTGTTCTGGTTGTTTCTGCATGTTCCACCTTCCGTGTATACAAAAATGGGTGAGAGAAGGGGTGTACCAGAAGCAGTACAGCTCTGGGGATTTTGCCACTGACAAGAGTTCTGACAACATCCTGTGGCATTGGTAAGTGTCAGTCTTGGTGTCAGTGTCAGTCTTGGTGTCAGTTGTAGAAGTGTACAAGCGGGAATTACGAACAGTAAGTTAGTATGTTTGCTTGCCATGTTAGAAGTATGTGTTCCATTCCCAGCAGACATGGTTTTTCTGACCAGTACGGCACTTGGGTCCACCGAGTTTCATCAACATGGATGCGCAGTTTTTGAATTTGTTTAGAGGAAAAGTGGTGTTACTCATGAGTTACAAGGGCCTATAATGGAAGCACACAGTTGTAACACTATAGCTTATGCATGTCATAAGAAGCAGCTTAGAAAGGTTGGTGTAAACCAGCTGCCTCATCCCATAGAAAACTTTTAAAGCTGTTTGTAAAATCTAAGCAGTCATGAACATTATAATGTTATGCAACTGGTGATCAAAATAACTGTTGGAACATCAACTATCATCTCATTTATTGAGAAACAAAGAATGAAATGATTTGACCATCTAATGAGAATAAAAAATCAATGATGCCAGCAGCAAGAGCGTACAACCTGAAAATCAAAACATCAAAAGGTAGGGGAAGACCAAGAAGACGATGGATTAAAGAAGTCACTGCATAACATCAAGGCATATCAAGTGACTGAGTGCATCTTGGCTCGGCTGCCAATCGTCTGATGAACTGCGACGCCTAACGGCAAAGCAGATATTGACAAAAGGAGAAGAAGAATGCAATTGGTTGAGGACATATTCTATTTTGCATGAAGTGATACAGAAGAAGACAATGTGTGGTGCTTGGGTCCAAGAGGTTCACTGCTGGTTATATCTTATTTTGTGCAGCCCCAAGTGCCGGCACGAATACTCACAGAGTCAGTGTCCCACACGATACTTCTGCTTCTGTGGTAAACAGCCTGATCCTCAGCCTGATCCCTGGTTGGTGCCTCACTCCTGTGGGAATGTCTGTGGACGCAGACTAACTCCAGAGTGTGGACATTCTTGTCTGCTCCTGTGTCATCCAGGTATGTCTGTGTGTATATTTTATCCTGCTGTTTCTGCCGGCGCTACCAGTACTGGGAGGATGTAGTGACTAGGCACTCACCTGCAGACCCAGAGGTTCTGGGTTCGAGATCTCATCAGGCAGATTTTGGAGGAAAATATGACATTGAATCCCAGGTCAGCCCAGCTTAAAAGGGATACCAGACAATTACCTTGACTCCCAGATCAGCCCAGTCTAAAATGAGTACCAGACAATTACCTTGACTCCCAGATCAACCCAGCCTAAAATGAGTACCAGACAATTACCTTGACTCCCAGGTCAACCCAGCCTAAAATGGGTACCCGACAATATCCTGGGAAGTAAAGGCGGCAAGCATGTTGACCACATAGCCCATCAAGTGCCTGTTTATCTGTACAAACATGAGTCTAACAGCATTGCGCAGGGCGCCGTTGACATTTAAAAAAAAAAGTCCTTTACTGACTTGCGTTATAAAGCATGATATCACATGTAGGGTATGCTCAGAACATTCAGGTCAGCTGTGAATAACAGTTCAACAGTCACACACTGAGCCAGATCCTGGTCACTAACAACAGGGGAGGAAAATTAGTTATTGGGACAGCTGAGTTCACAGAATATTTCACAGTTCTGTGGTGTGACCATTAGTGTCAATGCCATTATAAAACCTTATCCACTTTTGCCTTGCAGGGCTTGTCACCTTAGCCAAGGACTAGTAAAGTTCAACCCTAGACATACTAGTGGAAGGCAAGAGTAAATCCATTGTACATCTAGCACAAGATTGACAAAGACTGAAAAAGAAAAGAAGGAAAAAGAAGATTTGGACGGGGAGATACATACATACATTTTCAGTAACTGAGACAAGATAGCATATCTGATCACTTATGTGATAACTTTTATATACCACACACTTGTGTGATAAATTATGTCCATAGCACAAAGCTAGGCAGTGTTGTAGAGACCATATGTTGTTTATGCAAAATGATCCCTCCCTCGACCTGCCTGAATACTCCAAAGGAAAAGTAAAACCAGTATGTTTGGAACAAGGTATCAATACAACACATTTATGTGATCATTAGTGAACACCAAGTTTAATTATCCTCTTCTGTGATCACTCTCCTGTGCTCAGCATACTACCAGAGAGGAGTTCCTTCATGAACCTAACCACCAGTAATGTTTTACCTGGCACCCCGCTCATTTCTCTGTCATGGTTGTCTCCAAGGTTGAGGTTTTAGCACTGCAGTCTTCAACAAGATGAGCACACTGCCAGCAAATGTTCTAGAGCAGACACATGCGGCCCACAGGCTAGATGCAACCTTTGCATGCAGTAATATATGTGTAATCTAAATGACTTGAACAAGTTGTCTTGTGGGGCCCTCATGACCATACAACTATGGCCCTCAGTGGCCCTTTAGCTTGGCCTGCCTGTTGTAGAGTATGGAGACTTTGTGTCAGGGGCACTGGTTAGTTTGGCTGGCTTTCGGTTTGAAGGACATACCTTGAATTTGATTTCATTGTTATCAAGCTTTCAGAAGTTGATATATATCTTTTACCATAAGCTACACGATAAGTGTGGGGTTACAACTAAACTCTTCACCTGCTGGCCTGAAGGTCACTGTTTGAATCAACATTGAGACAGATTTTTCAAGCATGCCCTTGGCTCCCACTTCGACCCAGCCTAAAATAGGTATGGGTAAAGTCCTAGGAAGTAAAGGCCGCTGGCATCATGTTGACCACATCACCCACTGAGAGCCGATTGTTCTGTACAAATATGTGTCGAGCATCTTCTGCCCAAAGCACCACTGGCGTGTAAATGGTGCTTTCCATTGACTTTTACACCATAATTGATTGGTATCTACAAATGTTTTCATTGACATTCAATCACTTTGCATGCAAATCTAGGGTATGTTTGTACTTACTTACTTTACTTTTTCCTTCCACGTATGCCGCTAAGCGTTGTGGGGAGATGCAAGTTCCTGTCATAAGCAAGGCGGGCAGCATCTGATGTTCTGAGGCCATGCTTTTGGCAGGTTTCGGAGACCCCGTCAATCCACTGTTTCCTTGGTCTTCCTCTTGCCTTATATCCTGAGCTTCTTTGGTTGAAAATTTGTGATGTTATTTGGTCATTTTTCATCCTGGTTAGATGTCCAAACCATTTCATTCTTTGATGTTCTATGTAGTCTAAACATGGTGTAGTTTTGACAGTGTTTCTAATGTCTATGTTCTTTATCCTGTCTAGTCTGGTCTTATTCGCTGCTTTTCTTAGACATTTCATTTCACAGGCTTCTATTTTTCTTTCATGGGTCTTGTTGATTGTCCATGTCTGGCACTGGTAGCAGAGTGTTGGAATGAAGATGGTGTTTATCAATTGTCTTTTGGTCTTCATGGTTATATCTGGATGTTTAAGCAGAGGTGATAGTTGGTATGTGACAGCATTTGCTTTCTGTATTCTTGTTTCTATCTCTCTGTCCATTCTTCCATCCTCTGTAAATATACTGCCCAAGTATTTGAACTCTTTGGTTTGCTTGATTTTGGCACTTCCAACATTTATATTCAGTGGCCTGTGTGTTCTGCTGATCTTCATAACTTCTGTTTTTTCTGTACTGATTTTCATATTATGTTGTAAACAGCTGTTGTTGAGAGTAGTCAGATGTTCCTGTAGATCATATTCATTTTGATACAGTATGCTTTGATCATCAGCAAAAAAGTAATTCGTTTATAGCATACACGTCTGGGTTTGCTTCTACAGTGATCTTATCCATGTATGTTATGAAAAGTAATGGTGACAGTACACATCCTTGTCTGACACCAGTTGTGACTTTGAACCATTCAGAAAGACCACTAGATGTTCTTACTGCACTTTCACTTTTTTCATAGAGGGCTCTGATGTTGTCTAATAATTGACCCTGCACTCCGTAACCGTCAAGAATTCTCCACAGCACATCTCTGTCCACACGGTCGAATGCCTTCTCTTGATCTACAAAGACCACGTTCAGCTCTTTATCGTATTCGAGTGTCTTTTCACAGACTTGTCTTAGTGCAAATATGGCATCAGTGCAACCTCGCCCTTTTCTGAAACCGAATTGTGCTTTACTCAGTAGAGGTTCAACCTTTGCTCTTATCCTACCTTCTAAGATCTTTGCATACATTTTCCCCACATGACTTAGTAAAGATATTCCTCTATAAGTTCCACATTCTCTCTTGTTTCCTTTTTTCTTCCAGATAGGTACTGCAACTGATCTTTGCCAATCCACTGGTACCTTTCTCTCTGCCCATGCTCTATTGAAAATTCTCTCCAGCCAGGTGATCATAGTGTCCCCTCCGGCCTGGATGACTTCTGTTGTTATTCCGTCGATACCAGCTGCTTTGTGTCTTTTACTTGTTTTGATAACTTTCTCTACCTCATCCCGCAGGATATGTGGTTCTAGATGATCTGGAGCCCTTGAATGGAATTCTGCTGTTTCATGTACTCCCGACGGGTTCAAAAGTTCTTTAAAATATTCCTCCCATCTTTTTTTAATTTATTTTTGGCTGAATAATGGTTTTCCATTTTTATCATTTATGACTGATGTTGGATTGAAGCTTTCTTCTCTTAATCGCATCGCTTTCACACTCTTATAAAAGTCTCTGGATGATTCTGTACATAGCTGTGTTAGGTGTTCACCATACTTTTTCCATGAGTCCTCTTTGGATTTCTTTATTGTTCTCTTGGTGTCTCTTCGAGTTAGTCTGTACCTAATGTAATCCTTTTCGTCTTTTGTTTTTAACCATATTTGAAACATCTTCTTTTTATTTGACACTGCTTCTTTGACTTCTTCATTCCACCAAGCGGTACCCTTTTTCTTGCCTTTGCCCGTCTTTCTGGTACCACACTTGTCTTTTAATATCTTCGTGATGGTTGATTTATAATAATCCCATTCTTCTTCAATTCTTACTGGTTCCTTGGCAATATCTGCAAAAGCCTTTGTTATTTCTAGTTCAAATTCATGTTTGATATTCTCTTCCTCTAATTTCTTAGTGTTGATGATTTCTTCACGTTTCTGTTTATGTAGACTGTTTCTACTTGAGTTGCATATGTTCATAACTACTGGGCGATGGTCTGAATCCAGTCCCGCGTTTGGGACAGCTTTTGAGTCTCTTACCTTCCTCTTCTGCCGTTGTCTGACTAGTATAAAATCAATTTGTGACGCTTGATCTAAGTTGTTCCACTTGTACCACGTTTTAACCTGACTTTGGCGATGTTGGTAGAATGTGTTGGTAATGTAGAGATCTTGTTCAGCACACAAGTTTAGCAGGTGTTCTCCATTTCTATTGCAATCTGTGGTTGTGTCGCTAAATGGGCCAAGGTATCTCTCCCATGGTGATCTTCTTTTACCTACCCTACCATTAAAATCTCCCATTACTATGATGTCCTCTTTCTCTTTAACATTTTTGATGGTGTCCGTAAGTCTCTCGTAAAAGTCTTCTCTTTCTTCTTCAGAGTAACTATCATTACAAGGTGCATATATCTGAATAATCGTTGTAGTTTTACTTCCTTCTGTCAACTTGATTAAAATAATTCTTTCTGATATAAATTCTGTTCCTGTTATTAATTTTGCTGTCTCGGGATGAAGTATAAATCCGACACCATGTTTTGCCCTATCTTTAGTGGGTACTCCGCTCCATACTAAAACATAATTTTCATGTATTTCTTTTGTATTATATCCTTTCTTTCTTGTATCCGCAAGACCCATGACGTGTATATTTTTCCTTTTCATGAAATCCACTATTTGTGGCTCTTTGTTGGCAATACCACATATGTTCCATGTGCCTATGTAAGTCGTTTTTCTGTCTCGTCGTCCTTTAACGTTTCCAGTCCATTTTCCGTTTGGGGCTATCCGTTTATTTATCTCCTTTCTAATTTTCGTAGCAATAAAAAATCCACTGCCGGCTTGCTAGGCCAGTCGCAGTTTAAGGGAAAATCTGACCAGATGGAGGGTATGTTTGTACAAACATGAAATTTGATTCTGAATGATTCGATGCCAGGTGCCTGTCCACCCTGTCCTGCGATGGTCAAGTCTGCCTGCCACTGCGGGAAAAGTGTGCCTCGAATGGTGCGCTGCAATGCTCGCTCATGGACTTGTGGGAAGACATGTGGACGCACTCTCTCTTGCAAGCAACACCAGTGTCTGGATAAATGCCATGCAGGTGAGTGATGGTTGATAAATACCATACAGTTGTAAGATAACAGATAAATAACATACAGTTGTGGGATAACAGATAAATAACATACAATTGTGGGATAACAGATAAATACCATACAGTTGTGGGATAACAGATAAATAACATACAGTTGTGGGATAACAGATAAGTAACATACAGTTGTGGGATAACAGATAAATACCATACAGTTGTGGGATAACAGATAAATACCATACAGTTGTGGGATAACAGATAAATAACATACAGTTGTGGGATAACAGATAAATACCATATAGTTGTGGGATAACAGATAAATACCATACAATTGTGGGATAACAGATAAATACCATACAATTGTGGGATAACAGATAAATAACATACAGTTGTTGGATAACAGATAAAGACCATACATTTGTGGGATAACAGATAAATAACATACAGTTGTGGGATAACAGATAAATAACATACAGTTGTGGGATAACAGATAAATACTATACAGTTGTGGGTAAACAGATAAATACTATACAGTTGTGGGATAACAGATAAATAACATACAGTTGTGGGATAACAGATAAGTAACATACAGTTGTGGGATAACAGATAAATAACATACAATTGTGGGATAACAGATAAATACCATACAGTTGTGGGATAACAGATAAATAACATACAGTTGTGGGATAACAGATAAGTAACATACAGTTGTGGGATAACAGATAAATACCATACAGTTGTGGGATAACAGATAAATACTATACAGTTGTGGGATAACAGATAAATACTATACAGTTGTGGGATAACAGATAAATAACATACAGTTGTGGGATAACAGATAAATACCATACAGTTGTGGGATAACAGATAAGTAACATACAGTTGTGGGATAACAGATAAGTAACATACAGTTGTGGGATAACAGATAAATAACATACAATTGTGGGATAACAGATAAATACCATACAGTTGTGGGATAACAGATAAATAACATACAGTTGTGGGATAACAGATAAGTAACATACAGTTGTGGGATAACAGATAAATACCACACAGTTGTGGGATAACAGATAAATACCATACAGTTGTGGGATAACAGATAAATAACATACAGTTGTGGGATAACAGATAAATACCATACAGTTGTGGGATAACAGATAAATAACATACAGTTGTGGGATAACAGATAAATACCATACAGTTGTGGGATAACAGATAAATAACATACAGTTGTGGGATAACAGATAAATAACATACAATTGTGGGATAACAGATAAATAACATACAGTTGTGGGATAACAGACAAATAACATACAGTTGTGGGATAACAGATAAATAACATACAGTTGTGGGATAACAGATAAATAACATACAGTTGTGGGATAACAGATAAATACCATACAATTGTGGGATAACAGATAAATAACATACAGTTGTGGGATAACAGATAAAGACCATACATTTGTGGGATAACAGATAAATAACATACAGTTGTGGGATAACAGATAAATACTAAACAGTTGTGGGTAAACAGATAAATAACATACAGTTGTGGGATAACAGATAAATACTATACAGTTGTGGGATAACAGATAAATAACATACAGTTGTGGGATAACAGATAAATACCATACAGTTGTGGGATAACAGATAAATACTATATAGTTGTGGGATAAAAGATAAATAACATACAGTTGTGGGATAACAGATAAATAACATACAGTTGTGGGATAACAGATAAATAACATACAGTTGTGGGATAACAGATAAATAACATACAGTTGTGGGATAACAGATAAATAACATACAGTTGTGGGATAACAGATAAATAACATACATTTGTGGGATAACAGATAAATACTATACAGTTGTGGGATAACAGATAAATAACATACAATTGTGGGTAAACAGATAAATACTATACTTCTTCTTCTTAAAAGTCCATGCTATGTGGCGTTGGCAGTCATGTCTATTTACAGCCTTCTCTCTCGTGTATTTTCAGTCAACTCTTATCAACTTGCTTAAGGTTTGTCCCATTTACTTTGATTCTGCATTTCGAAGGTCAGTTTACTTTGTAATTACCATAACTTCTGTTTTACTGCTTTTCAAACTAAGACCCTTGTTTTCACTTTCCATTACAATTATATCCATCATTTCTTGTAATTGTGTTTTTTTTTCAGCGATTAAAAACTACATCATCAGCATCTTGCACAGGCCCATTTCCTTCCTGGCATACTGTGTATGGATTGCATAAAAATACCACACATTTGAGGAATATGATAAATACCACACAATTGTGTGATAATTGGGGAACAATCAGTTCTTTCATTTCTACTTGATCTAATTCACCTCTTTCCATTTATTGTAATTATATTGAAACTCAACCTGAAGAACATTAGGCGAGGAATGGGTCAGAGTGCCGGCGAAACAGTCAGATTTGTGTAGATTCGTAATCACATTGAGAGTGCAGGCAGTGGCCAGCCGGTGCCATGGAGGTGAAAATTCAGCAATTAATTCAAGATAATGCTCGTTCAGAGGATGTGATTATTTATACAGATGGTTCAATGTCAAGAGGCAAAAGAAGTGCTTAGGGGTTCTTTGCAAAAGCCAGTGATTGACGTTTGGTGCAGGAGAGCCTAGCATATACCACAACATACAGCCTAAGAATGGAGGTGGTCACTGCAGTTTTCTGCTGGCTGAAAACACGAAACACACACAGTCACACATTATGATTGTAACTGACTCAGACAGCATGTTGAGAAAGATGAGGACAGGCATGCTTTGTGCTGAGTGGTATGCTTTGCTTCGGAGGTCACGGGTGGGGAGCATTGTCAGGATTTTTTATTTGGGGCTTGCCGGACTCGGGCAGACAGACTGGCTGGCACTGCACAACTTGATTGTCTTCGGGGCTTGCCGGACTCGGGCAGACAGACTGGCTGGCACTGCACAACTTGATTGTCTTCGGGGCTTGCCGGACTCGGGCAGACAGACTGGCTGGCACTGCACAACTTGATTGTCTTCGGGGCTTGCCGGACTCGGGCAGACAGACTGGCTGGCACTGCACAACTTGATTGTCTTCGGGGCTTGCCGGACTCGGGCAGACAGACTGGCTGGCACTGCACAACTTGATGGAATGCTGGTACATGATAAGGCAGGTGTGGTTTGGACCTTGTGGGAGAACGTTACATGTCGGAGAAGCAAATGGATCACCAGTCTAGTGAGAGTGATGCAATGGGGGGGGGGGCTGACAAGGGGATATGGTTAATAATCGACGCTCAAAGGAAAGGCAGGACAAACGTATAATCAGAATGCTGTTGGCAATATTGGTATTGGAACTGGCACTGGTTGCTGAAGATGAAGATGGAGCACTTATGGGAAGGCCCCAAGAGCTGTGATGTCGGTTTTTGAATCAAATCAACTCCCTCAATCAAGTCTATTAAAACTCATTGCAAGCCCTCTTGTCATGTACCAACCCCACTGTCCCCCCAGTGTAACCCACCTGTCTCTTTTCTGCATCTGCTTTTAGGTCTGCCTCTAATTTTGTTGGTCCATTGGGTTCCTGAAGAAGGACTTTCTACTTATCTGATAACAGGTTTCCTTAGTGTGTGACCCATTCAGTGCCACCTGGTGCATACCCTGGTCAGTCAGTAATAAATAAATATCACAGTTGTGAACATCATCTTCTCTGTGTGATTTTCAGGGCTCCAGGAGATAAACCCACTGCTGCTGAAAAAGTAGGTCATAACAGGTGACTGATTAGACATTTGCTGAATTCCGAGGTATTTGGCCAAAAGGGGCAGGTATCACAGCTTAGCTGTCAACCACAAAACAGCATGCTGCCAGCTGTCTTTGTAAGGACGGACAAAGAATAAAGAGAAGAAGAATGACTTGTGACTCTTATTGGTGAGAAATAAAAAGAATTCTTGTACAGGAGATAGGGAGAGTAAAACCAGAGCACAAGAGAAGGAACAAATCAAATCCTTGGCTGCTTGAGATATTCCATTGTGAGCAGACTCTGGACAAAAGCCATACCCTGGGCTGCTGGAGTAGATAGTTCATAGTTCACTTTGTTCAACATGTGGTCTTCTGCAGGTGAGTGTGCCCCCTGTACAAAAACCAGCGTGCAGGCGTGTTGCTGTGGCAAGCAGAAGTCTGAGCGGCCGTGTGACAGTGTCTCCTGGCAATGTGATAAGGTTAGACAATACCATCTCTCAATTTTATACAAATGTGTATTTTCTAAATATATTTTTGTTACAGCTCTCAGTTGTTATCCAAATGTGTATTTTCTAAGTATTTGTTTGTGAAGAAAATTTCTTAGAATGCTGTAGATCAAGAAAAAAAATATACTGACATTGTACAGACTCAGACATCACAACAACAACAAAATGGCTCATCAACTCTATCGGTAATACACAGTTGTTAGTTTCAGATTTTCTATCCCATTGTTTGTGTGCTTTAGAGTAACATCCCTTTAGTCTTCATAAATGAATCATTCTTACGGCTAATGGACATGAAGTGAAATAAACGGGGTGCAGTGGGTTTGTGTATGGAAGGGTGTAGCCTTATCTTGACGACAGTGGGTTTGTGTATGGAAGGGTGTAGCCTTATCTTGACGACAGTGGGTTTGTGTATGGAAGGGTGTAGCCTTATCTTGACGACAGTGGGTTTGTGTATGGAAGGGTGTAGCCTTATCTGGACGACAGTGGGTTTGTGTATGGAAGGGTGTAGCCTTATCTGGACGACAGTGGGTTTGTGTATGGAAGGGTGTAGCCTTATCTTGACGACAGTGGGTTTGTATACGGAAGGGTGTAGCCTTATCTTGACGACAGTGGTGATCCTCACATCACTTTTGATGGGGATTCATCATCATCAGTTATCTGTGAGCCTCCACAGCACAACTCTTGTGCTGACACCCCTCCATGCATGACAAAAAGATGTCAAGAATTTTCTTCCATTCTCTTCCTCTATTTTTCCACAGATCTTTCCAATGGTCACAATATGTTCCATTTTCCCACTTCTCAAAACATAACCACATCTCTTTCTGATATCTGTGATAAGTTGTCTTCGAGTCCTCACCTCGCACAAAACCTCTGTTGGAAGGGATTACTAATACCAGATACAAAGGTCAACATAGGTCAATTTTGTCTTCATCTATTGGGGTGCTGATAGTCTAGGATAAACGCTTGCCACACTTTTCAAGTGTGTATCGGAACTTGGTGAACTCTTGTTTGGCAACGCTGATATCTTACTTCATTGGTATATTAGTTAAGAAAAACTCGCACTGCTATAATGCAGCTATAATTTAATAAAGGCGAGACAGTATTCCAGTCTAGTCGTGATTCAAGGAAACAACAGACTGCACAGATCTGTCAAACAGATGCACACACAAAGAAACTCAGTCCTGGAACAAAGCCAGTGTCCAGAAATTGGCAAACAACCAGGCCCTTTGCCAGAGTGTACAGTCAGTGAGTGCAAACAACTGACAGACATTACCTAATAGATCAAATCATTTTCTTGGCTCATATGACCTGTATCCGACTCTGGAGTTTGACTCAGATACTTCCCAGGGATTCACCACCAGGGATACTTCTGTTTCTTCTGCCTGTTGTCTGCCAATGGAGCATAGGCCTCTAAACAACTTGCACCTAGCCCTTTGTAGATGTGTTCATGAGTGGTTGGGTTTTACAGTCAAGTTTTCAGTGGCCAAACCTCCATAATCAGCTCTTATGACATGCATGGTCATTTACAGCTTCACTAGCCTTTGTTTCTTTTGTGAGCCCTTGTAAGGCAAGTAGTGAATTATGGGCTATCCTCCAAATAACGGTCCTAAATTATCGAGGCGGAAAATATACCCTTACAAGGTATATCACATGTCAATTGCGCACTTCCGTTGTCTTAAATTGCGCACTTCTGGCGACTTCCGCCACCACTGAGAGTATCCCCCACGCTGCATAAGCGGCGTGGATTGGGACTGAACTAGATGGCTGGGACTCACGGCAGCAGCTACCGCATCTCCTGCAGCTTCCTTTATTTTATTTGCTCGTGAGTCCTAGCCATCTAGTTTAACCCCAACCCACGCCGCTCATGCGGCGTGAAGGATACTAGTGGCGGTATAGTCCCTGGAAGTTCATGATTTGGCGGTGGCGTTATAGTTTCCGGAAGTGCGCAATTGACACGTGACTGAGGCCCTGTTAGGGTATATTTTCCGCCTCGATAATTTAGGACCGTTATTCAGAGGATAGCCGAATTATGTAATGAGAATATTCATGTTCTAAAATCTGAGTGCATGTTTGTTCTCCACATCCACATAGCCATGTGGGAAGTTGTTGAGCTGTGGCAACCATCTATGTGAGAACATCTGTCATTCTGGTCCCTGTGGCAACTGTCCCAGGTCAGGTCCCAGGAGGTGCCCTTGTGGGAAGACAGGTCAGTGGTTGCTCTGTGTTACCTATGATTCTCAGGTTGATTGTGTTGTTTGATTTGGGTCACCATGTTTGTCCAGAGTCTGCTGCCTATCTGCTGCAGTACTTTAGAATATTTCCTACGAGAGTGCTTGCCCTTTTGTAGACTGCTATGAGGTCATTTATTCACATAAAAGACTATTATGTGTTTATGTACCATTTTATAAATATTTCTTTTTGTTTACATCTTTACACACTGTCTCTGTCTGTCTTCATTTCTTTGTCTGTCTGTTTGTATCCATTTTTTAATGTCTTATATTTTTTATATAGATTAGTCTCTCCATCTCTATACATGTGCTTTCTTCTTTTACATTTCTGTCTTTCTGTTCGTGTCTACCTTCCCAGCATGTACATGTAAACGTGTATGTGTGTGTAATCATCCAGTCTTCAGAGAATTAGGTGATACTGAAGGCTTTAGGAGCTTCATGTATCAGACACTGAAATACTTCAGCCATGTTACGTATCAGTCCAAAGGCATTAACAACAAGTATGCAAGACTGATTGGGATTTTGCAGCTTACATCGTCAGTTAGAGGTAGCCACTGTGTCAGTTAGAGGTAGCCACTGTGTCAGTTAGAGGTAGCCACTGTGTCAGTTAGAGGTAGCCACTGTGTCAGTTAGAGGTAGCCACTGTGTCAGTTAGAGGTAGCCACTGTGTCAGTTAGAGGTAGCCACTGTGTCAGTTAGAGGTAGCCACTGTGTCAGTTAGAGGTAGCCACTGTGTCAGTTAGAGGTAGCCACTGTGTCAGTTAGAGGTAGCCACTGTGTCAGTTAGAGGTAGCCACTGTGTCAGTTAGAGGTAGCCACTGGCACAAGAGAGAGAGAGAAAGAGATAAGAGAGACATTAGTTATTCAGTTTAAGATGTCCCATGTTATACAGCAAATGTCTAAAGCTATACAATTTGATTTATCTCTAAACCTCCGGATAGAAGAGTCTACAGAAATATGTGAAGTATATAATGGAAAGTGCTAATTCATTCTTATGACTGCAGAATTCCAGTTACCTTGTACAGAAGACATACCTACCTGTGGAGACACCTGTGGGAAACCCCTCGCTTGTGGACAACATTACTGCACTCAGCGCTGTCATCTGGGAGATTGTGGACAGGTTTGTGAACAGTTCCTGTCTGAATTCACTAGACTCAATTGTCATGTTTTGATGACTGCTCAATTACTTGATGTGCTGTCATGTGTTGTTTTAGTGGACATTAATCAAGCGCATTTGTTTGGTGTGGTAAAAAAATGTATGTACTATCTGTTTTAAAGGACAAATTAGTGGAGTGCTTTCTTCTGGAAATGTTAAAATTGGTACCAAATTTTGTTTGAGACGATAGTTAAAATCGCCCGTGTGTCACCGGGGCCCTCACGGGAAGCAAAGAATAGTGACACTGCACCCTACCAGGCATGTCGTAAGAGGCGACTAAGGGTAGGGTTGGGCTTGAGGTTGGCTACCTCATCCTGTAAAAACCATAGCCACAAAAACCAACCAACCATGGATAAGTCAAAAAGAGAAGCAAGTAAAATCCAGCCAACCAAGATGAGGGGAGGCTCTTCAAATAGAAGAAGTATGACACGGTGTGGAGAAAGCCGCAAGGAGTCCAGATCGTTGAATAAAGGAAGGCCAAAAAATACATGGAGAAAAGAGCTGGAGAATGAAGTTAGAAAGATTGGGAGGACATGGGGAGAGCTCCATGCAATGGCGAAGGATAGAACGACTTGGCGTGAGTTGGTTGAGGGCCTATGCTCCATTGGGGGATAGAAATGCAGAAGAAGAAGATAGTTAAAAGGAGTACATAATTTTGTTTGGGAAAATGGTTAAAAGAGAGAAGTTTTTTCAAGTCATTGAAATGAGGTATATTTATCTTTCTGTTGATACCAACTCTTAAATTATTATAAACACAGGGCAAACATAAAATCCTATAAATCCTGGTTCGACATATTGTGAACATTTTTGTTACAGTGTATGCAGATGGCCATCAAGAAGTGTCGATGTGGGCAGAGACAAAAGGAGTTTCCCTGTGCTAAAGAGTTCCACTGTGACAAAAAGTGTAACAACTTAAGAAACTGCGGAGTTCACAAGTGTAACCGCAAGGTAGATTTTAATTTCATGACTGGATATTGCACTTTCTTATTTTGTGTCTGTCAATACTTAATTCACTTTCTTTTTCTTATTTTTCTTTTTCCTCATCTTCTTCTCTTTGTCTGCTTCTTCCTCTTTCTTTTCTTCCTTCACCAGCCTGTTTAGCTCATTTTCATCAGCTTATTATTTGTTCTTCATCATCAGCACCCTCTTTTTCATCTTATTCTCAACCTATTTTTGTTCGTCTTATTGTCTGCCAGTTCACTTTCCCTGTCCCTCATCGTAAGAAGGGAAACCACTATTAATAATATCAGAGTCCCTAAAGATTGTGACCACTACTATCAACTGTGTGTTCCCCTGGACTCCAGATCAGCAGATCCAGCCACAAGTAGTTCATGACCCCTTGTAGGTTGCTGACACCATTTGTATCTGGGGCATGATCCACCAGTTGGTTGCAAGCTTGTCCATTGATTATACATGACTGATATACTCAGACTTAGTCAGGGGGCCGCGTTAGTGCAGTCGATAGAACTCGCTTTCAAATCCAGCTGCGACTCACTGCAGCCCACGGCTGGTGTTCGACACTGGTTGGTTCCCGGGGTTTACCCAGCCTCTAGGGAATGGGTACCAGAGTGAACACTCTGGGGTAAATGGAGGAACGTCGCTGTAGCTACGAAGTTGCCTGAAAACGGCGACACAGACAGACCGTTTCTTATCAGCTGTCTGTACTGGTGGCAGAGCACTTATGGTTTATAACCGTGTGCAATGATGATGGTTCACATCTCCCGACTTTACCTTTTTAGACTTTGTTGGGAACTGCTTCCTGTTGACAAGAAATATTTATTTCTCCTTGACCTTGTTTTCTGTCCAGTTTTTTCTTTTCAAAATCAAAATAATTGTTGTTGGCAGTCATGTAGGTGTACGTAGGTGTGTTCATGCATGGCCTAGAGTGCTTCATGAGAGCTGTCAACAATAATGGTAACAACTAATAACATATGTTTCCTGATAGTCTTTATGGGATTAACAATAAATATTGACTCTTCTGTTGTGTAGTGCTGCGATGGCAACTGTCCCAGATGTGAGCAGATCTGTGGCAAGACACTGAGATGCCGCAACCATAAGTGTGCCAGCCAATGCCATAAAGGTAATTGAGTAAAATATTTCTGTTGATGTCAATATACTGTAACAACAACTTGTTCCACAGTCTGATCTTTCTACATCCTTCTTTCCTATTCTTTTACCCATTATTTCCAACTTATGCTTGTTGATTCTATCTCTTGTCAGCTTCCTCACCCCACTCTATTCCTCCTTATATTATTCATTTCTATCTGTAATTCTCCCCTCAGTTTGTTCTTAGTTATTCCTCTTCCCCTTGTGCTGTGTGGGCTCCCGGTAAAAACTGATATTCAGTTGACACCTTTACTAGGTTATCTTATCTGAAATCTTTTTTGTGCCAGCATCACATCTTTTCCTGACCAGCCAACATAGACAAGGTCTGTGTTTCTTTTAGAGGCAGAATTTCTGAGAGGCGAGACACCAAAAGGCTGCACCCCAGTAGGCCAGGTGTGTAAATAGGAGAGATGTGAACACAAAACTCAAGTGCTGCAACAAGACTAAAGTCCAGAAGTGGGTGAAAAACCAGGACTTTCTGCCGGAGGTTATAGCCGGTGAACACAGAAAAGAAGAAGAAGAGGAAGAAGGATGCATCTGGTCACGGACTTGATAAAACAGCAACTCATTTTGTGAAACCACATTAGTAAAAAGTAAAGGATTTTTGTCCATGCCTTCACAAGTACTAGGCATTTAATCCTAGATCTATATTTTAAAGTCCAATCAGCACTTGGTAGGTGATGTGGTCAGCATCACGCTGGCCGCTTTTACCTCCCATGACTACCTGGTACCTATTTAAAGCTGGGCCGACCTGGAAACCAAAGTCATTTCTGAAGAAAGAAAAAGGTCCAGCTCCATTAGGACCCGAACCCCTGACCTTCTGATTCACAGGTGAGCGTCCAATACCAAATTAGTGAAACAGTTTTTGTGAACTAAAGTCGATGCTTCACAATTCAAGGTCCCTGTTATCCTTGCCCACTGACCATGGACATCACATGCAACTGCAAGAAGACAAAGATCACAGTTCCCTGTGGAAAGGAGAGAGTCACCAAACCTCCAAGATGTAATCTCCCATGCAAGTAAGTAGCCTCTGGGTTTTTCATTGTTATTTCTTCTTCGTTCACCGGCTGTAAGCTCCAGCGGAAAGTCCTGGTTGTTTGTCCATTTGGATGTTAGCTTTTTGCCAGAGTCTGAGTTTTGCGTGTACATCAGTTTTACTAGCTTATTTATGTGCAGATTGTTGATTCCTTATGACTCAGGCAGATATGATTCTTACTCTTCTTCCATTTTTGTCCATAAGTGGATGGTCAGCATGTTTTGTTGTGGTTGACAACTAGGCTGTGATATATGGGTCTTCCAGCCCAACATGTCCAGTTTCAGCACACTCCTAATTAGTCACCTTTTATGACATGCTTTTGTTGGGGGGAGGGGCTCCCAATGTGGGATCTGGGCTCCCATTGTAAGTTTTGGGGCTCCAAGTATGGGTTCTGGGGCTCCTAGTGTGGGTTCTGGGGCTCCCAGTATGGGTTCTGGGGCTTCCAGTGTGGGATCTGGGGCTCCCAGTATGGGTTCTGGGGCTCCCAATGTGAGTTTTGGGGCTCCCAGTATGGGTTCTGGGCTCCCATTGTGAGTTTTGGGGTTTCCAGTATGGGTTCTGGGGCTCCCAGTATGGATTCTGGGGCTCCCAGTGTGGGTTCTGGGGCTTCCAGTATGGGTTCTGGGGCTCCCAGTGTGGGTTCTGGGGCTCCAGTATGGGTTCTGGGGCTCTCAGTGTGAGTTATGGGGCTTCCAATGTGTTTTTGTGCTCTCAGTGTGAGTTCTGGGGCTCTCAGTGTGAGTGAGTTCTGGGGCTCTCAGTGTGAGTGAGTTCTGGGGCTCCCAATGTGTTCTTGTGCTCTTAGTGTGAGTTCTGGGGCTCTCAGTATGAGTTCTGGGGCTCCCAATGTGTTTTTGTGCTCTCAGTGTGAGTTCTGGGGCTCTCAGTATGAGTTCTGGGGCTTCCAATGTGTTCTTGTGCTCTCAGTGTGAGTTCTGGGGCTCTCAGTATGAGTTCTGGGGCTTCCAATGTGTTCTTGTGCTCTCAGTGTGAGTTCTGGGGCTCTCAGTGTGAGTTCTGGGGCTCCCAATGTGTTTTTGTGCTCTCAGTGTGAGTTCTGGGGCTCTCAGTGTGAGTTCTGGGGCTCCCAATGTGTTTTTGTGCTCTCAGTGTGAGTTCTGGGGCTCTCAGTATGAGTTCTGGGGCTTCCAATGTGTTCTTGTGCTCTCAGTGTGAGTTCTGGGGCTCTCAGTATGAGTTCTGGGGCTTCCAATGTGTTCTTGTGCTCTCAGTGTGAGTTCTGGGGCTTCCAATGTGTTCTTGTGCTCTCAGTGTGAGTTCTGGGGCTCCCAATGTGTTCTTGTGCTCTCAGTGTGAGTTCTGGGGCTCTCAGTATGAGTTCTGGGGGCTTCCAATGTGTTCTTGTGCTCTCAGTGTGAGTTCTGGGGCTTCCAATGTGTTCTTGTGCTCTCAGTGTGAGTTCTGGGGCTCCCAATGTGTTCTTGTGCTCTCAGTGTGAGTTCTGGGGCTTCCAATGTGTTCTTGTGCTCTCAGTGTGAGTTCTGGGGCTCTCAGTGTGAGTTCTGGGGCTCTCATTGTGAGTTCTGGGGCTTCCAATGTGAGTTCCGAGTGCATATTCCCGAGCTAGAAGTTGCACTTGCCCGAGCGACTAGAAACAACCAATTGCACACAGGTTTGCTCATATATCCATTGCTGTTTCGATGAGAGAGAGAGAAAGACATGAAGAAAAGAGATAAATATAATTTACCTTCTTTGTGTGTGGGAACCATAGTCATCTAGTAGCTAGTTGCTCGCCTGTGGATCGTAAGGTTGTGGGTTTGGTTCCTGGTGGGGGCCTGACTTTGGGTCCCAGGTTGACCCAGCCTTGAGTGGGTACCTGGTACTTCCTGGGAAGTAAAGGGGGCCGGCGTGATGCTGAATGCATCACCCACCAAGTGCTGTTTGGTCTATAAAATATAGGTCTAGCCCTATTTACCCAAAACACATGAAAGGCGTGGAAAAAGGTTCTTTACTTTTACTATTTTACTTATCTGTGTGTGTGTGCACATGCATACCTTACATGCACTTGTGTATAAGAGAAACATAATACATAAAAAGCTTTATTTTGATTTCTCAGAACACCGCCGGCATGCCATCATCCATCTCGTCAAAAGCACAGGTGTCACTTTGGGGACTGTCCGCCGTGCAGTTTTGTTTGCGGCAGAACCCTGGACGGGTGTGGCCACAACTGTCCCGTAGTCTGTCATGATGCTGTCAAAACTAAAGTACAAGATGAAGTAAGTCTTCAGTAGAAGTGCTTGACTTGACTCTGAAAGTCTGGGAAGGCTCCCTATGGTTGCATAATGAGTATATTTGATAATTGAGGTATTATTTTGACATTGGTCAAATAAATGCACCTTGTAGAAGAGCAAATTGCCAGATTTCTGTAACATGCTACGGGGAAATGTGAGAAGTTGCATCGCACACCTTACATTTATTGGATCACGTGAAGAATAGCCAGTCATACTTGATGAATTACTTTGAACTTTTAAATTTAAAAAAAAGGCAGACTCACGGACCAAAAGCCAGTGTTCAGGGCTCATATATCCATTTGTTGGCGGATAACTTATACCACACATTTTGTTTTATCTTGCCCTGGTTATACAATTTATTTAAACATGTTTAAAAGTCCCCCCCCCCCCCCCCCCCCCCCAAATTCCTAGTATTAATACCAATATAGGTTGGAGAATTGTAAAAGTAATCTGTTAGCACTAAATTACAACTCAGGGTGACTAATCTTGCCTCAGATGCTAGTGTTCATTAAGAGTAGAAGAGAAAGGATTCAATAATTTATGAGAATTGAAAATTTATCTTACCAGAATTTGCTGTTTGCATAAAGGCCAGATTCATCAACTGTATATAAAAGGACATTCACTTAACGATGGTCTAATCCAGTTTCGTCCTTTTTAGGATGAAATTTTTTGTTATTTGAAGCCCCACTCTGGCTTTTGCCAGGGGCCGCAATATAGGCAGGCCATAAATATAGCCAATTGTCTGAACACGGTTTCTGGGACCTCTCCACGGCGATCCTCATCCACATGGTGGCACTTTGTGTCATCGGGTGTTTATCGCTTGTGTGATGTCCTGGTGGGGTAGAAAGTCAGTCAGTCAGACCGATGTATACAGTTAGGTTTATGGGCTTCTTCCTCTTGTGTAAGTTGATCTTCATCTCTGAAAGGCTGTTCTTGATACTGTCAACCAGACCTCCTGTGTTGCTCTTTCAGTCCCAATACATGCATAAGATATCAATTGCTGTTCCCCCCAAATTCCAACCATTGCATCGTTCGTTTACTTCTTATATTTGTTGACAACTTGGAGATATACTCAGAAGAAGATCAAAGCACTGATGGTCATAGAAGAAGATCAGAGCACTGATGGCCATAGAAGAAGATCAGAGCACTGATGGCCATAGAAGAAGATCAGAGCACTTATTTGTCATAGAAATCACACCTGATGTGTCATAGAAATCACACCTGATGTGTCATAGAAATCACACCTGATGTGTCATAGAAATCACACCTGATTTGTCATAGAAATCACACCTGATTTGTCATAGAAATCACACCTGATTTGTCATAGAAATCACACCTGATTTGTCATAGTAATCGCACCTGATTTGTCATAGAAATCACACCTGATTTGTCATAGAAATCGCACCTGATTTGTCATAGAAATCGCACCTGATTTGTCATAGAAATCACACCTGATTTGTCATAGAAATCACACTTGATTTGTCATAGTAATCACACCTGATTTGTCATAGAAATCACACCTGATTAGTCATAGAAATCACACCTGATTTGTCATAGAAATCACACCTGATTTGTCATAGAAATCACACCTGATTTGTCATAGAAATCACACCTGATTTGTCATAGTAATCACACCTGATTTGTCATAGAAATCACACCTGATTTGTCATAGAAATCACACCTGATTTGTCATAGAAATCGCACCTGATTTGTCATAGTAATCGCACCTGATTTGTCATAGAAATCGCACCTGATTTGTCATAGAAATCGCACCTGATTTGTCATAGAAATCGTACCTGATTTGTCATAGAAATCGCACCTGATTTGTCATAGAAATCGCACCTGATTTGTCATAGAAATCGCACCTGATTTGTCATAGAAATCGCACCTGATTTGTCATAGAAATCGCACCTGATTTGTCATAGAAATCACACCTGATTTGTCATAGAAATCACACCTGATTTGTCATAGAAATCACCTCCTTGTCTTCTCTTAGGATCTCCTGACAAACCTTCCGTGCGGAAAGAGTTATTGAACAGCATGGCTGGTCTTAGTCCTAGTAGGTTTACTGGCATTCTCAAGACAGTCTGTTATTTTATGTTTTCACAACACAGTTTATGATCTGTGTATTCAGTTTTATGTTTATACCACACAGTTTATGATCTGTGTATTCAGTTTTATGTTTATACCACACAGTTTATGATCTGTGTATTCAGTTTTATGTTTATACCACACAGTTTATGATCTGTGTATTCAGTTTTATGTTTATACCACACAGTTTGATCTGTGTATTCAGTTTTATGTTTATACCACACAGTTTATGATCTGTGTATTCAGTTTTATGTTTATACCACACAGTTTATGATCTGTGTATTCAGTTTTATGTTTAGCTGACATCAAATGATGACATCTTCTGACAGGGTGTGAAGGCCGGCCCCTGGGAACAGAGACCTGCACGTGTTGAAACACTTCGAAAGCCTTGTCCACCTTGTCAAGTACCCATTCCTATGAAGTGTCTGGGCGGACATGAGGTAATCACAATGAATGAATGAATCAAGAATTGACATCACATCTCTGCACTCGGGACATTCCCACACATGCTCTGTCCCCATCTTCAGTAACCAATGAAGAGTTGACATGGTATTAGTACCACTGAAACCTGATTAAATGTCTGCTTCAGTTTCTTTTTCAATGTTGAATATCTTCTGGAACCTCCTCACACCCTCCTGTTGAATTAGTCTTTCAGTGTTGAATATCTTCTGGAACCTCCTCACACCCTCCTGTTGAATTAGTCTTTCAGTATATGGATTCCCTATCTGTTCTTTTTTTTTAACTGTCAGTTTGATCCCACAGAGCCTTCACATCCACTTTATCATATGTAGCTTCCCTCCCAGATGAACGTCAGCAGCTGTCTATCAGCCTGCTTGTTACCTCGCATGTCATGGACAAAAAAAAGCTTTGATACACTAGTGATCTGGGTCTTATCAAGTAGGTAATTTGAAATGTTAATACATGAAATGCCTTCTTTTGTCTGCTCCCTTCTTTTGTCTGCTCCCTTCTTTTGTCTGTTCCCTTCTTTTGTCCGCTTCCTTCTAAACATGTCAGTCACTGTCCTGTCGCCACATTTATTTCTCTTGTCAAGAAGCTACAGGGAATCAAGACACCAGAAAGATCTCACTGTTGGTTGCCGGGGCCTACACAGAAATGAAAGAAAGGTAACTGTAGCCTGGCATACATGATCTATGAGGCTATCAGTGGAATAGTGTGAGCCTATGCTCTATTGGAAGATGACATTGCAAAAGCAGAAGAGAGTCAGTTACTTTGATGACATTTAACTCAAACAGCTGCCCATGAGTTTGTTGGTTTTATCTGACATGTCCTACTTTTGTGGGGTCCTTGTGTCCCACCCTTGAGAGCCTTGGTATGTGCTTCATAGGTGCTCAAATGTAGGGCCTCGGCTGTTGCATGTGTCCATGGCTTTCATGGTCAACCTCTGGCTCTGCTTCCATTATGTCTAAACAGGGCTCTCTGCAATTACTGTCTTGACCCATGTCCAGACCATTTGATTTGTTGTCACTTGATGTAGTTTAAAATTGGTTATATCCCTTCTTTCCTGATATTATTTCTGCTGTAAATTATTACTTAAGTTAATCAATTCTTAGAACAGAAAGAGTTACTGTTACTGCGCACATGCTTTTTACTGCAAGAGTTAAGTGAAAACAGTCTGTGTTACTACATGACTTTGATTTGTTAAACAAATTACAAGCCATCTAAACTTACTTTTGGGATCTTAAAAATGACTTTCAGACATCGGAAATACCTTGTTTCCGAGTGAAACCTTACTCCTGTGGTCGAAAGTGTGGCCGCAGGTTAGCTTGTGGAAATCATACATGTGAGTTACAGTGTCACACAGTCACGGCTGCTCCAGACGCACATTCTGTGAGTACTGAGTGTTGTAATCTTGATTGTCTACGCATGTTCTGCATCAGCTAGAAATGTTTTGTTTCAAGTTTTACACAGGTTGTGCATAGTCCAGACATATTTGTTTCAAGGCGTACGCAAGTTGTGCGTCATCTAGAAATGTTTGTTGCAAGCTTGTACGCAGGTTCTATCTAGAAATTTTTATTTCAAGTTTTACACTCGTTTCAAGTTTGTACACAGATTGTGTATCATCCAGAAATGTTTGTTTCAAGTTTGTACACAGATTGTGTATCATCCAGAAATGTTTGTTTCAAGCTTGTACACAGATTGTGTATCATCCAGAAATGTTTTGTTTCAAGTTTATACGCAAGTTCTGCATCATCTAGAAATTTTTGTTTCATGTTTGTAAGCTGGTTGTGTATCATCTAGAAATGTTTGTTTCAAGCTTGTACGCTGGTTGTGTATCACCTAGAAATGTTTGTTTCAAGCTTGTTCGCAGGGTGCGTATCATCTGCAAATATTTTGTTTCATGTTTGTAAGCTGGTTGTATATCATCTAGAAATGTTTGTTTCAAGCTTGTACGCTGGTTGTGTATCACCTAGAAATGTTTGTTTCAAGCTTGTACGCTGGTTGTGTATCACCTAGAAATATTTGTTTCAAGTTTGTACACAGGTTGTGCATAGTCTAGAAATGTTGGTTTCAAGCTTGTACGCTGGTTGTGTATCATCTGCAAATGTTTGTTTCAAGCTTGTACGCTGGTTGTGTATCATCTAGAAATGTTTGTTTAAGCTTTTATGCTGGTTGTGTATCATGTAGAAATGTTTGTTTTAAGCTTGTACGCTGGTTTTGTATCATCTGCAAATGTTTGTTTCAAGCTTGTATGCAGGTTGTATATCATCTGCAAATGTTTGTTTCAAGCTTGTACGCTGTTTGTGTATCATCTAGAAATGTTTGTTCAAGCCTGTATGCTGGTTGTGTATCATATAGAAATGTTTGTTTCAAGCTTGTACGCTGGTTGTGTATCATCTAGAAATGTTTGTTTAAGCTTTTATGCTGGTTGTGTATCATATAGAAATGTTTGTTTCAATCTTGTACGCTGGTTGTGTATCATCTGCAAATGTTTGTTTCAAGCTTTTATGCTGGTTGTATATCATCTGCAAATGTTTGTTTCAAGCTTTTATGCTGGTTGTATATCATCTGCAAATGTTTGTTTCAAGCTTTTATGCTGGTTGTGTATCATCTGCAAATTTTTGTTTCAAGCTTTTATGCTGGTTGTATATCATCTGCAAATGTTTGTTTCAAGCTTGTACGCATGAAGGGTGTGACTGTGTGAGGGCTACTTGACTTGACAACCAACACTGAGCTTTCAGGGAAGAATCTCCTATAAAGCAAGCTGCACATACAACAGTGGCCTGTTGTCTGGGCAGTGGTCTCTTGTCTGGGCAGTGGCCTGTTGTCTGGGCTGTGACCTCTTGTCTGGGCAGTGGCCTCTTGTCTGGGCAGTGGCCTCTTGTCTGGGCAGTGGCCTGTTGTCTGGGCAGTGGTCTCCTGTCTGGGCAGTGGTCTCCTGTCTGGGCAGTGGTCTCTTGTCTGGGCAGTGGTCTCTTGTCTGGGCAGTGGTCTCTTGTCTGGGCAGTGGTCTCTTGTCTGGGCAGTGGTCTCTTGTCTGGGCGGTGGCCTGTTGTCTGGGCAGTGGCCTCTTGTCTGGGCAGTGGCCTGTTGTCTGTCTGGGCAGTGGTCTCTTGTCTGGGCAGTGGCCTGTTGTCTGGGCAGTGGCCTCTTGTCTGGGCAGTGGTCTCTTGTCTGGGCAGTGGCCTCTTGTCTGGGCAGTGGTCTCTTGTCTGGGCAGTGGTCTCTTGTCTGGGCAGTGGTCTCTTGTCTGGGCAGTGGTCTCTTGTCTGGGCAGTGGTCTCCTGTCTGGGCAGTGGCCTCTTGTCTGGGCAGTGGTCTCTTGTCTGGGCAGTGGTCTCTTGTCTGTCTGGGCAGTGGCCTGTTGTCTGGGCAGTGGCCTGTTGTCTGGGCAGTGGCCTGTTGTCTGGGCAGTGGCCTGTTGTCTGGGCAGTGGCCTCTTGTCTGGGCAGTGGCCTCTTGTCTGGGCAGTGGTCTCTTGTCTGGGCAGTGGCCTCTTGTCTGGGCAGTGGCTTGTTTGACCTTCTGTTTTTGGGGTTCAGCCTCCCAAGTTTCTTTAACATGCTCATGGTTTTTGTTGTTAAGTTTGTTTCCATTTTTAGAGCATGATAACTGTTGATCCATTCCCCATTGATCCCGGATGAAGTATGTTTTCCTTTTTCCAATTTTTTACAAATCCACAAAATCAACACTGTATATAGTCAGTTGTCTGTTGGAGCAGACAGTTTTGAAAAGCAGGATTTTCAAAGGGAGTGAATGCACAGTGCCAAGAGGTCATTAGTAAAGGCAGATTTCTTGGTATGCTTTAACCAAACATATAAAGTATGACAAAATACTTCTTGATGGAGCTGGTCACATGTAGCTTAGGACCAAAAAGTGATTTTTCTTGTTGTTGCTCGGCTGTTTTAGTTTTCCAGACTTCTTTTTTGTCACTTTTGCCTGAGATTTTTCCTGCATAATGCTGATTTCTCCATTACTCATCTTCTGTTGAATGCTCTGTATTGACATTAAAATTCCACTGGGCTTTCTGCAGGCTGGGACAGAATGCAAGCCATGTGAACTAGGCTGTGAGGAACCAAGACCAGACGGATGTACTCACCCTTGCGTGCGACCATGCCATCCTCCACCTTGCCCACCCTGCCACATGATGATCCGCATGCGCTGTCACTGCCAGACACTTGTCAAACACATCGAGTGTGACAAGTGGAATGCTTCATCACAAAAACTACGTGACACCTTGAAGTCGTGTGGACAACCTTGTCCTAAAGAGGTGAATAATGTCTTTCACATTACTGTTTGTGTGTGTGTTTTAATTTGTGTTTTCAATCACTTTATTAATACTGGATGTCACCACATTATACACCTTTCTCAGTGTTTTTGCTGCTCATACTATCTCTCACCTGTTGGTTGCTGGGCTTCTACAATATGTGAACAATAGTCTACAGCAGTGTTTTTGCTGCTCATACTATCTCTCACCTATTGGTTGCTGGGCTTCTACAATATGTAAACAATAGTCTACAGCAGTGTCCTTGCTGCTCATACTATCTCTCACCTATTGGTTGCTGGGCTTCTACAATATGTGAACAATAGTCTACAGCAGTGTTCTTCACCCCTTTGGCCACGGCCCACTAATGGAAACGTCCAGAAATGTCTGCCTAATTATGTCTCATAGGTAGGCTGTTTTTCTCTTCCATGATTGTAGTCTATAGGATTTAACACCTCAAGGATGAGAATCAAACCCCAGAAAACCTGTTCAACCATATCAATCAAGAATATTTGGACACCTGGGTTAGACTGTAACTGTGAGAATGTGCTCTTCTTCTGCCTGTTATCTCCTAAATGAGCACAGACAATCAGCCTGAGCACAGACAATCAGCCGACACTGGGACATTCTTGTGTATACTTTCCAATAATTGGTTGCATTTTTCAGCTAAAGCTTACTATAGGAGAAGTCAGCCAACTGTAGACCAGTGATCCTCAACATTTTTACATCCATGGGCCACCAAAGCTAAGGAATTTTTTTCATGTTAAACCATACAAAGTAAATCCAAACACATGGGGGCAGCCATTTGCAATGACTAACGAATAAGGTTCGACCACGATTGGTTGGTTATTTATAGTTTGTGACGCATTTTATCACATAGTATGCAGAGTACTGAAAATTAGGTAAAGCGGTTTAGCGGCAGGTTAGGAAATTCCCAGAAAAATGGTACAGCGGTCTAGTAGAGTAAACATCAGATTACTTCCTTGAGCATGTTCACCGAGTATTCTTGTCACTTTTATGTCACTGTATCTTTGTTCCTTTGTAATCTGTCTTGCCCACTGTTTGATCACCCTACAACTCCTGTCTCTTAGTTGCCATGTGGACATCCTTGCGGGGCTGTGTGCCACAGTGGACCCTGCCCCAATGCTGGCCGCTGTCAGAAGAAAGTCACTCTCAAGTGCAGATGCAAGAGGATCAAGAAGGATGTTGTGTGCGCAGAAAGAGGAGCTGTGTCAAAACTGGAGTGTGATTCCAACTGTAGACCTAACCAGAAGGTTTGTATGTTTCTGTCTAGTGCCACTGATTAGATATTTCATGCCCTGCCTCAAGCTGATCTTTGTAAACTTTGTAAAACAACCTCTGAAAGATCAGTGATATCCCACTGAGACGGCGACTGAGTCAACTGAAAGGAAGAAACTTGGACATTGACTAGGAGACAACACAAGATTGCCTGAAATCAGAGAACAAGCCATTGTCAGTCACAAGAGCGACCATGAAAGAACACAGACAAGCTCTGTTTTCAGGACAGTTGAAGCATGTTTGCATCAGTGAGTTATGTCATTAACCTGGAACTTGAATCCACAGACAGCATAACAATCCTGGGAGCTAATCCAGCGAGCTGAGCTTAAAAGCAACAAATAGTTATGTCTAAAGGAGTTCAACAGAGACACTGTGGTACAGACGTAGTTAAATAATTCACATACATGGGGTTGACAGAATGACCGTCTGTGAATGAAAACATTAAAAACATTATATTTACAGTAAGCAAATGAATCAACGAATCAAGCGTCGACACAACTGCACTCTGGGCATTTCTGCCCCTGTCCTGTCTCTCTCCTCAGCAGCCAGTGATCAGATTCTGTTCTGTTGGTACCAGCTGCAACCTGATTCAAAGTTGCTGAATCACCCTCTGCTTACTCCCTGCTGAATCACCCTCTGCTTACTCCCTGCTGAATCACTCCCTGCTGAATCACCCTCTGCTTACTCCCTGCTGAATCACTCTCTGCTTACTCCCTGCTGAATCACCCTCTGCTTACTCCCTTCTGAATCACCCTCTGCTTACTCCCTGCTGAATCACTCTCTGCTTACTCCCTGCTGAATCACCCCCTGCTTACTCCCTTCTGAATCACCCTCTGCTTACTCCCTGCTGACCACCCAGAGGAGCAGCAGAGCCGGTCTATCAGCCTGCATATTACCCCATACATCGGAATATCCTGGGCAGAAAACCTTGGTGTGTTCCTGATCTGAATCTCATCAAGCAATGCCAGCCACTCAGGACCTAGGACACTGTTCTCAGCAGTGGCCAAGAAATACTCATGAGTTGTTTGGTGCTGAACAAGTTAAAAGTTCCACCTGTTAACCTGAGGCCGCATACATTTCTTGGCTGTCGCATTTCCATCATTTCAGGGTTGGAATTAATGTTGTTTGTTTTTCTATATTTCAGAATGGTGATGAATTGGCAAAGCAAAAGGAGGAGGAAGAGAAAAAGAAACAAGAGGCAGAACTCTTGGAATATGAGCGAATGATGAAAGGACGGAAAAAGAAACACAGAAAACAGAAAGAAGAATTGCAAGAGGAGACATTTTGGAGCAAATACAAACTCTTCATTGCTGTTCTCACACTAGGTATTGCTGCAGCGTGTGGTGTCATGTTGTATGCTAACATGGAGTTTTGATCTCAGATATTGAGAGAATTGTTTTGTACAAATTTAAGTAATGTATCTGTAACCTAGCAGCAAAACACAACCAGCCACCCAGCCATGCTGAACTGTAGGTTACTTTGTAACCATAGCATACCATGATATAACCGTGTTGTATGGTTGAACAAGGTTTCTGGGTTCTGCTCTTGTCTGATTGCCATCTATGAGATGATAAGATGTTTATCCTATAGTCTGCACTTCTAGAGGGAAGTGGAAGGAAAGCAAAAATCCCTTAATCCTATCGCTCCAGAAACACTGAAAAAATAAAGGTCATGAATCCAGGAAGCATGCAGTTTTTTTAAAGCAGTGTATTTATATAGATTCCCACACAATAAAGTTCAGGAGATATGAAGGATAGTAATTAATAAACATGAATGAAGTGAAAAATTAACTTGATTTTATTACACCGTCCTAAAAAAAAGGATCAGTGACTCGTATCATTTATCTTCTCAGAATTCAAACACTAGCATTTACGGGGAAACTATGACATCACAGTTGCTTTAAAACTGCCATTTAATACAAAGAAAATCCCTAAATTGTTAGTTAATTTAGTAACCTCCTAAATGCTGGTGCAAAAACAATCAGTTTGTTGATCAGGCAACTCATTAACACATCGCTGTAGAAATGACAGGTCAGGAGGCATTTATACAGGGATTAAATTCTTGTTGTAGGTGTCAGGTTTGTGGCTTGTCGGGGTGAAAGCGTTCGACACGATTGATAGAAAAATGTGAAAGAAAGCAAACGTAGAGTAATTAAAGGACTGTCTTTACGTCAGTGAGGCATCAGGTATATGATTCTTGATGGATGGTGCAGTCAGCATAATCATAGTTGTCTTTACCTCCCAGGACATTTCCCCGTAAATGTTCCAACTTGTTTATGTTATTGGCTGTTTTCACACCTGCGATGTCAAGATATGGATACGTTAACTAAAAATAGCATTTAGGGCATTTTCCTTCAAACCAAATGTTTTTGTTTAGCCAAGTTGACTTCACATTTTCCTTCAAACCAAATGTTTTTGTTTAGCCAAGTTGACTTCACATTTTCCTTCAAACCAAATGTTTTTGTATAGCCAAGTTGACTTCACATTTTCCTTCAAACCAAATGTTTTTGTTTAGCCAAGTTGACTTCACATTTTCCTTCAAACCAAATGTTTTTGTATAGCCAAGTTGACTTCACATTTTCCTTCAAACCAAATGTTTTTGTTTAGCCAAGTTGACTTCACATTTTCCTTCAAACCAAATGTTTTTGTTTAGCCAAGTTGACTTCACATTTTCCTTCAAACCAAATGTTTTTGTATAGCCAAGTTGACTTCACATTTTCCTTCAAACCAAATGTTTTTGTTTAGCCAAGTTGACTTCACATTTTCCTTCAAACCAAATGTTTTTGTATAGCCAAGTTGACTTCACATTTTCCTTCAAACCAAATGTTTTTGTTTAGCCAAGTTGACTTCACATTTTCCTTCAAACCAAATGTTTTTGTATAGCCAAGTTGACTTCACATTTTCCTTCAAACCAAATGTTTTTGTTTAGCAAAGTTGACTTCACATTTTCCTTCAAACCAAATGTTTTTGTTTAGCCAAGTTGACTTCACATTTTCCTTCAAACCAAATGTTTTTGTATAGCCAAGTTGACTTCACATTTTCCTTCAAACCAAATGTTTTTGTTTAGCCAAGTTGACTTCACATTTTCCTTCAAACCAAATGTTTTTGTATAGCCAAGTTGACTTCACATTTTCCTTCAAACCAAATGTTTTTGTATAGCCAAGTTGACTTCACATTTTCCTTCAAACCAAATGTTTTTGTTTAGCCAAGTTGACTTCACATTTTCCTTCAAACCAAATGTTTTTGTTTAGCCAAGTTGACTTCACATTTTCCCCGTAAGCCTCAGTGATAGAAATCACAAGGTCATGACATGAGTCATCTTATACCTATGTTTTCAAGGTCTTGGGGAATGTATTACATTTAGTAATCTGGTCACCATAATTTCAGCTTCATAGCAACCTGGTCACCCCATAGTTGATTCGCTCCTGTGCCAATGAAAAACACACAGAATTCCATCACTGTCCCTTATGGACAAATTGTCACAGACTGCAGTCTCAGCATATTCACTATTATTATTAGCTTACACACACCCACACACACATATTAAAAGCATAGGGCAGCCCTTAGAAGTGCTAACACAAACAGTCTGACATTAGAAATGCAGTTCATCATCAACTGAAGCAGCAGTTACAAACAGATCAGCCATTGCACCCGCGACCAATGTTAATCACATAAGGCATCACCAACAGTTTTCTAAATTTACAGTTGACAACACCATGTTGGTCAAGTCAAAAAACATTCCAAATTAAATCTGCAGCTCATAGTGTCTCACCATGCACTCAGCTCAGGGCAACAAAACTATATCCTTTCAGTCTACAGATAGAGGAAAATGCAATGGCCACCATATGTCAGAAACAAATAGTTAGTGCTTCACCTTATTCATGTTGATTGATTACTCCCTTCATATATCTTGATATATATAGGAAAACATTAAAAGAATGTAGATAAATACATTTATAATGAATTTATTAGTGACCTGTGAAACATTTTGTTTCAAGGATTTTTTTCTAGAATCCCGATGGACTCGTGGCCTATTTGTTTTTATAGTGTTCTTATGGCGAGAGTGTGAAAATAGATTTGGCATTGACCTGCCCATCTTAAGTGTTCACCGTCTGATCTATCAAACATTCTGTTGGCTTCTTGATATTTTCTGTCATTGTCAGAATGTATATAATTGTTTTATTTATGGATTACAATATTATTCATTGGGGGATCCTAGTTCAGCTTCTAGTAGATGTACCGATGCATATTTGGGGGGCAGAATCTGACTAACGACACTCTACGAATCTCTCAGCTGCTCAGTCACACACTAACACTGACTGTGCATTTGGCATCAAGATAATAATGTATTCACTCGGACGACTCAGTTCTGCCTCCTTGCAACCAACCTTAAGTGTTTACCTAGCTATAATGGCTTTTCCTTATCACTTTATCTACCAGTGCATTGTTTTATGTGTTAGTCTTTGCTGTTTGTTCGGTATAATTTGCTGCTTGCATTGAAGAAAGTGAAGCAGATTATGTTTCCAGTAGAAATCTTTTAAGCGATAACATTTCTCAGGAATTCCTTTCCTAATCACCACCCTATTCCTCGTTTTACCTTTGGTAAAGATGTTTATCTCCTGCTACCACCAACATGATATTGAAATATATTCCTTGTTTCGTCATTTTATTGTTCTTGTTGATGAGATTTGATACTTATGAGAAATACCACTCACACACAAAAACATTGAAGTGAAAGCTGTAATTGTACAGAATCTTAAGCAGGTGTGAGAATAAACTGGGCGTTACCAGTGAAATATGTAGCATACAACGTTTACGATAAATTTCCATACACAGGAAAAAATCAACATATCACTGACGCAATACAGGCATAACTCCAGCTGTGTTTGTATATGTGTTCTTCATTAGTGAAGGACACACATCGGGAAAAAAAATGGTAATAACGTAGAGCATTTATATTAAAAAAAATTGTTTTTAATTTGTTTTAAAATGTTGATTGTTGCCATCTATGGAATCTGATGGGACAGCTTGTATTTGTCGGGCTTCACAATAAACCTGCGGGGTGGAGAAGTGCCTGTTTGTAAGGGACTTTTGCCGGCGGAAAACTGGGAAGGCTGGTTTTAGGGAGACACCATGAGCAGCCTTTTAAGATAGTGATTACCTTGAAAAACCAGACCTCTTTGGGTGCCTCTTATGACACGCTTGGTAGGTCTCTCTAGACCTTAGTAAGAAGTAACTATAACTGGGGACCAGAAAGTTGCACTTCCTCAGGTATTTGGAGACTGAATTTTTGCAGAAACCCTGTGCTGATTGTGAATTAGAAGCTGCGGATGTCTTGTCATTTATAGACTGCATTTTCAGTGCCTAATGTTGTTTAAACGTGTTGTATTTAGCTATTTGTTGTTGTAATCTTGTTCTTATTTATGTCAATTCCAAGTCTCTAAGCATCTAATTTATTTTGAGGTAAGATGTTAGATGTTTAGAGTTTAAAGAGAAGATAAATGTTGAAATATACCTGAGAAAATTGGGTTTAATATCATAGAAAGTTGATGTACAAATTGCAGCAACAAAAAAATATAATCTGAAATAAAGAATAACATAAAAATGTGCTAAATAAGATGATGATTTAACATGTACAGATATCTTGCAGTCTATCCCAGGTGGCATTATACTTTATTTCTGATCTGTGTTTCTCCATTTCATGAGGCTTAACTTAACACATTGTCAGTTGTCTCCCTCTTCGACTGTCCGCATGCCTCCCCCGACTTGCTCACAGATTGTGGGTTGACCCAGTTCTGACACAGGTAACCTGTTCTCTGTGAGAGCTGAGCAGCAGAAGATGGTGTTAGATAGGGCACATCTCTTAATAGTATAACCAGAATGTTCTTTCTCTGGAACTGACAGGGCAGAAGAACTGGAGGGAGATCCATAAATATACAGAGAAGACAATTAGAAACAAACATGTGGGGAGGGCATGAGTTTATGGGGAACCTCTAATGGAGGAATTCTTTTTCAGCGATCTCTGGCCATGGGATATCACCCTCATCAGTAATGGAGAGAACTTCTCTATTTTAGCAGTCTCTGATCATGTGCTTAATCCACTGTGGGCCGTAAACTAGGATGTCATCTCAACAATAATGGAGGAAGAATAGTAGAACCAGCACACAAGGACAGAATATTCTGTAAAAGTTAATAAGGAAATCTTGGAAACACCACTTGCCATATACTGGTCTCTGGCCAGTAATTTCCCCTGGTCTCTGGGCAGTAAGTTCTAACACCCATGTGTTTTGTTGCGCACATTACACAAAAATACCTTGGCAGTTGGAAATAGAAAAAGTGCTGCACAGAAAACATTTTGAGTTAAATATCTACCCAA